TGAGTCACCATTAACAGTTCTCTGGAAGTAACCCAAGTGGGTCCATCAACTGGTGAACGGATCCATCCAGGGTGGTAGAGCACACAGTGGGACCACTTTTACCTTGAAGCTCAACGGATCTTAGAAATGTGGATTTGGGGTCATGAAATTAGCTCTTATGGCTTCCATGCTGGGGTCTGCAATCAGGATTAGCATAGTAGCTGTCGCCTGTGGCCTGGCTCCTTGGTACATGGGCACTGCCTTCACCTTGTGTCCTCATGGAGTCTCCCTCCTTGGTCTGTGTCTGGATATCTTCCTGTAAGGATAATAGGCTGTACTCAGTCAAGACTCACCTCGGTAGACTTACTGAGTTACCTCTTAAGGACTTTGTTACTGGGCACATTTCAAGAGACTGGTTTGGATTTCCACATGCCAACTTGGGGGATATTATTCAGCTATAACATGAGGTGGAATCAGGCCAGACACAAAAAAGGCAAGCATATGATTGGCCTTTCAAAACACAGATGTCCTGGTTTCTGTCATACTACATAGCACAAGACTTTCTGCGGCTTCCAGGATATGTATGTGGGTCCTCTCCCCAGCAGCAAATCGCTCTGCAGTGGTGACACCTGCAGGTGGCCTCCAACCCAGTTTAGCTCAATATCCCACTAGACACAGTGTTATGCTATGTGGGTACTTGGTCCCTGGGACTGCCCTCTGTCCTGTAGATCTCAGTTCCAAACTCCAGGGTATCTTTGTGCTTCTGACCAACTGGCTATCAAGCGGAGATTGATATGGCTCTGCTTTGGGTGCCATCAATTTGCGGTAGTGGCCTGCCCAGTAGACTTGGGAGGTACAGTTTGTGGTGTATCAGGAAGAATTTAATGAAGGATTCAGGTGATGAGATATACAGGGTGAGCAGCTGGGGAGGGAGGGCCGTGCTTCTCTCCAGGAATGTAAACACCTTCCCCCAAGTCCATCCTTTGGGGTTTGCATGAGACCTTGTTGTGTGGTTCTGAATGTTTACAATCTGGGTGGCAAACCCAGGAAGGCCTTTGTGAATATTCTTCTTGGCCTCTCTGGGCATCAGTACTTTCTTTGTAATGAAGAGAGTTCTGTGTCTTGCTGAGGCACGAGAAAGGTCAGATGTTCTGTGGCCAGCTCCAGGATAGAGGGTCCTGGAAGGTAAGAGTTTGTGTGGCCTGCCTTGGTGGGATAGTAATCTTGCTTCCTGGGATCTGCCTTGGAAAAGGACTTTAATGGTGGGAATAGTGGTAACCTCCTCCTGCCCCCCCCCCCGGGGCCTATCACCGGGGGCCCCCCCCCCGGGGGGTGGCAGCAGCGGCCCCCCCCCCCACGTATCTATGATCAGGTGACAGAGGTCTCTAGGGT